TTCTTTTCGGTGTTGTCATTTCCAACGTTGTTCCAAGCCCTGGTTGATATAGATAGATGTACCACCATATTTTCATCCCGTTCTTTCTTTTTTAGCTTCCCCATTCCTTGAGCCCCTTAAAATAGTTCCATTCATAATTTTCCTTATCCCTTCCCTTCTTTTCCTGAATTTTTTTAGCTTTGGTTTTGAAAACCTTTTATTTCCAGTGTTGCCCCGCTGATACCTTGCGGCTGACCCCAGGGTGCGTGTGTGAGTGAGTGAGAGAGAGAGAAAGACAGACAGACAGACAGACAGACAGACAGACAGACAGACAGACAGACAGACAGACAGACAGACAGACAGACAGACAGACAGACAGACAGACAGACAGAGAGAGAGAGAGAGAGAGAGAGAGAGAGAGAGAGAGAGAGTTACACTTTCACGTACCAGCCCCGTCTTAGTCAAAAATTGCAAATGTCATACCACGTGACTGATTACCTCAGTCTTCCAAGTCTTGACTCTCCTTGAAAACTGCGCCAATTTATATTTTGTGCGTCTTTGATGAACGTTTTTTAAGTTTACGATTAGTTTTAGTAAGGTTTTAAGGCGATTGCAACTGCATAAGGTCATACTACGAGCGCCAAGGGGTGGATGTCAACGGAGAAGTCCAAATTTAATCAGGCTTATTCTGCTCACCACTCTAGCCTCAACAGCACAAAATCTTCTAAGACTTTGAAGGCACCCCGGAAATAACAGTATACAAGAGAGCGACAAACATACAAAAGAAGTAGAGGGGAAATGACGATAATAAAGATGAGGAAAGAAAAAGCAGCAATTCCCCTATGTTGTTCCGGCACAGTATGAGCATGACATTGATAAATCAGCCCATGTACAATTCTACTGTGCATAAGAACATGTAAATATCCCCCCCCCCCCCCTTCCTCGCTTTTGGAAATGGCCTAAAGACAACTTAAGTCAGTGGCTCTGCCCTTGGGGGGGGGGGGGGGGGGGGTTCTGTAAAATCCACACATAAATGTTTTTTTGAAACGGCTGTAAAAGGTGTCGAGCCGAAAACAAAACAAAAACCAAACAACAGCAGCAACAAATGAACACATAAAAAGATGTAAAATTGTCAAACAAGTGTAAAAATATACCGTAGTATTTTTGTTTTTGTATTTTTATTTTGTTTTTTGTTTTTGTTTTTTTTCTTTTGTCTTGACGAGTTATTCCACCATATTGACGTACACATTAATATGCCAAATCTTTACAAGGTAATTCACTGTCAAAATATTGTATTGTCCTAACTCGTCGCTGGACTCCTTGGTCAGAGCTAAAAGAAAATGTAAGTAAGTAAAATTGTTCCCGCATGCAATCCGGACATTGGGGACTGCCTTGTTAGTGAAACAACTTTCTAGGCCTTCGGCATATTATTGTGGTAGGGTGGCCAGTTCCTTTCCACGCCGCCTTTACTTCCCCAACTCGAAGTCAGGTACCCATTACTGCTGGGTGGGCAGGAGGGGGTGAAAAAAATCCGAGTCCTAATCGAGGCTCGAACCCGGACTTTCTGCTTCGGAGACGAGCGCATTAACTGCTCCGCCACCGCACCCTAACCTAACCCTGAAAGGGTGACCTTTTTTTTGGTAAGTGTTTGCTTTTTTATGATTTTTTGGGGGGTAAGTGTTTTACGGCGCTCGCAGTACAAACGACCATTTCCCACTTCTCTTTTGCTTTAAAAAAAATATTTTAAAGTTATTAAGACACTTTCCAAGAGGATCATTCTTCTACGAAAGAGAGATAGAGTTAATAATTATGATGAGTCCTCAAATATATTCATTCGTTTTTCTTCCTGTAATAATAACGACTTAATCCCGCCCACCAGCCTCTGTGGTGAATTGGGCACACTCAGTGCACATGGTAAAACGTTTCACCAAATTTTCATGCCATATGGTTTCATAGATTTGAAGGACGGCGCTTGCCAGTGTTCACTATAGCAAATAGACCTGCTTCTTTCAATCAAATTTGACCTTCAGCTCCTTCTGGGGGGGACACAAAAGACCTTACCCATCAGCACTCCAACGCGTACATATAAAAATATGGTCCAAATGACGCACGACGAGTACTTTTCAAGACGAACATGGTGATGTCTAGGCTGAGGGGGGGGGGGGGGGGGC